GCCTAACAATTTATTTGATCAAGAACTTCAAATTCTAACTAAGACCGCAGTGTATATAGGTTAAATACTGGAGCCTAAATTTAATTACAAGCAAGATTGATTAAAACGGCATTACAGCATCCTATTGTAATAGAATAATGACGTCATGTCCATGTAAGGTATATTTATCAAGGAAAATCTCACATGGTTAGAACAGTAAAGTGTAAATATTGGCCATGGGTAAACAATTTTCTGGCCTTGTCTTAGTTTCACATCATTTAGTAATGATTAATTGACAACTTTTTTCCAATTCGGACATAGGAAAAAATTTATATCAATGCTAAAAAAAATAGTGCCCAATACTATTTTTTCCGACACGATTTGCCGTCTTCCGGAAGAGGAATATACTTTCAGAAGAGAGCATTCTGGGTATGACACTCTAGCAGTCGGGAGACTTCCAATATGGCAGACATAAACAAACTAACGCTTGCTTGATTAGAAGGAATAAATGCATTGACCACAACTGTATCAGGAATCGTCTTGTTTCCATGGTAAATACACTAAAAATGACAAAACGTGCAAAAACATATATATGGCACGGCACCGTATATAATATATATATAGATTCTGGTAAACTTGTATCAATATTGAATTAGGAAGAGAGCCTATTCCCAATATGTTACACTGCCACTGGTTTTCTAACCACGAGTTTAAATTCTGTAAACACCTCATTTGTATAACTCTGAAACATGTTGGATATGACGAAACTGCGAAACATACATATGTAATGCATCATAATAAGACGATAGTTGTTAAACGCGGTGAATGTGTAGCAACACATTCCGTAATCGCCGCATTTCAAAATCGGGTTGGTTACCTCAGCCATTTTGGAATGGAAATCTTCCACGTCGTGAACGATAGATCAAGAAGATCATCCGGAAGCAGAAGAGCTTCTAATCGAGTAGTTGGAATCCATCTTCTAGGAGCACAAGACGGCAAATCGTGTCGGAATCAGTTCAACGCCAGAGTAGTTTGCTATGACTGGTCAATTTATTTTCGCGACTATGCATTAGACTAACATTACCACTACAGCGTAATTGTATAATCTATATTAAAAATTCAGACCAAACCTTTGCCAATGGGTTTGACTCGAATTGCATGCTCTATTTCAGTTCCAGCTAAAGCCATGCTGCCATAAACTAATTCATCAAGTTTGTACTACTTTTAAACGGTCCCCACAATTACAGTGTACTTACATAGACACATAATGATAACGAGGTGAAGTAGTGGACACTTGTCGACACTAAAATGTGTTCTGTCTTGTTTACAATAGTAATTGTACGTCATTTGTTATCGCAGGTAGCAGATTAGTTATGCTGCTATCATTTCATCTATCTGATAGACAACATGGCCGTTATATTTACCTAATATTAGGTACATTGTGGGTATTCAGCGACTCGGATTAGACACCCTGTAAGTATGTTTGATCCGTATGATAAATAACGCTGTTTTTATTTGATACATTGTGCATCATTATTTTCATTAAAATGTATAATCAAAAGCTTTAATAAACAGACTTTGTCAAAATAAGCGTTAATAATATAAATGACACCTCAAAATTATTCAAATAGGCAGCCTAATTAATGTTGTTGTGTTTCTCTAAAATGACGTTCAGATTGTAATCGGCCTGATGTCACTACTAATCACGTCTAGTAAATGTCTGGATACACAAATGTTCACTTGTACTTTACAACTGCGTTCAAAATAGACGATTTTTTTAACGTACATTCTACTTTACTTTATGTTTGATAAAATCACATTATGTCAAAAATCACCGGCTTATACACAGCAATAATTATTTTTCAATTAAACTTTTGATTTAGAACATACAATCGAAATGTTCAGTATTATGTATCTATATAACATTTTTACATAAATTTGAGTTTTTTTCATTAGCTCACCTGGTCTGAAGGACAATTTTTCTCAGAGGTTACATTTCGGTTTCCTATGCTTCTTATTCTTTCATGTCCCTATACATCAAAACGTCCACAGAGCCTGTTCTAAGTAGTATGGAAATATGGATTGATTCTCCATATTCATAGTTTGAATAACGTAGCAGAATGTTTCTGCTAGGAAAATTTACTCGGAAGGTATTTCATGGGCGTCATACTGACTTGACGTATTATCAGAATTAGATAGTTGACATTATCACGGGAATCGAAATAAAGGTTAAGAACATTTTACACTTTGCTTTTTTCTTCAATTTGTATTGTTAAACGTTAACGTTAATGATTTTGTCATTCTGCTAGTGAACTGTATCAGTACTTAAGTTGGTCGTTCTTTTGTTATTGGGATTCACTCTAGCACGTTTTTCATGAAATAATAGTTTACAAATGTATAAAAAGCAGTAGCCAAATTAAAAAATTGTGAAATTATAAGGAACTTTATACCAATCATCTCCCGTTTGCGTTATTTCTACATAATGTTTTGGAACTCTTAGGTATCTAATTTTCATACTTTTGACATTCATTATCACTGACGAGTCATTAAAGGCCGAAACAACAACATTATTTAATTCATGGTCGTATAATTTCACTTAGTTTTACTTGTTGTATTTCTACAACTTTTTTTGGTCTGTACAGACATTTTGTTATCTTACTACCTTAATAACCACTAATTGATCCCGAAAGGCCAAATGATCATATGTCGCAATATACATTAACTCTGTTTGTCAAAAAGTTTCGAAGAAGGTGCTTCCCTAGCATATAAATATCTTTCAAAACTTTAGGTCTGTATGAAATATTTTCAAGTTTATTTAACTTAAACAGTATATGCTAAATATGGTTTATTGATTTTAAAGTATTGTTTTTAATCTTAATTCATATTGGCAAATTTTTTTTAAAGTGTAAGTGATATTGATTAGTTTTTCTACGACCGCAGGGTATGGAGGTTATTTGATGGTTTCCCGTAGAATTTCATTCATATTTCACAAGTGTGACAGGATACCAATATTTTTCACGAGCGAGCATTTGAGTGAAATGTAATTGGTAATTAACGGCAATACCATTAAGTTTTCTATTAATTGTATTTTAAACTAAGTAAAACACGAAATTGTTACTGTATCAAAACAGTCAGGGATATGAAAGTATAATCTTTGGCTCTATATTCTAAAACTGCCATGTGTTACATTAAGATTGAATTTCATTTTTAATAGGATATTTTAAAACAAGTCTGCCGTTTTCTGCTATAGTTTGATACATAAATGGTAAACATTATTTAGGTAATTTAATACCTAAGCACTTACAGCAAAGATGGATGCACAAAAACAACCATTGTGATTAGAAAATCTGCGTGTTGATATGAAGTGAATAGAACAAATCACTCTGATTGGTCAATTCAAAAAGTGATATCTTCACATTGTGAAAATATCATATTTATATCTGTCACTGTGAATTTTTCAAGGCTGAATTTCCTATTGTAAACTTTCCCTTTCTTGATGTCAAAGTTGACAGGCAAATTTTAACTAATACAGGTTGTCTAAAGATGCATGTTGATAAAAATCTGTTCGTTTCACATATCTTTGGACATAACATATAAACAGCTATAATGTTAACCATGTTACCATTTATATACCATTTATACAATAATTTGACATGATCAAAGACGGCGTAACAAATGAATTTACACTGTACTCTGGATACTATTTAAAGAATGAGTTCTTTTTAATGTTTACTTAAATTGTCAAAATTCTCTGTATGCAGAAGATAAAGACAAAGGTAAACTAACTGATCTGAAGATTTACATGAGAGCGCTAATGTTTTACAGCACTCTAAGCTAATTCTTGACATAAGATACCAGCATGGTCCAAGACTTGTTTTTTTGGGACTAGCCCTGACACTGTGGACACAGTCGAAGCACAATGACATAAAAAGTTGAAACCTTCACTTTATAAACATCACTGCTAAATTTCGCATGAAATGGCATTATTCCTTGGGACCAGTAAATCAATTATTATTAAAAAAAAATATTTTGCTTCCCTCGGGGCCGCCGCCGAAATGGGTGATTAATTCTTAATATTTACAACCGAAGCAGTTGATCATATTGCAACAGCATTTTTCATAAGGTATTGATGTTTTCCCCTGGGTTTTGAGAGATGGAATCCTTTACAGGGAGAATTTTGCAATAATACCTAAGAGATCAATACCAGTCATTTTGGTCATTTTATGAAAGTAAAGCAGGAGAAAAACTCAGACTGAGTGCTAATGTCAACCATTGTTATATTACTGATATTGATTGTATGTAGTCCCCCGCCTAGAGCAATATTGAGCTGGAAAACATGTTAATCCTACGGTGCAACTAAGGTGATAGATTGTTAGTCACATCAACCCATGATTTTCAATATCTCTGCCAGAATTTTCTCCATAGACATGTTGACAAGTCTCCAAGCTATCCAGGATTTCTTCTTAACAGGTTTCAGTCTTTATCTAAATTACCTGGGTTTTAACCATGGGATTGTAATTAAAGACATCGATTTGTAATATTTGCAGTTTGTATCACATGTGACGAACTGATAATATGATTGTGTCATTTGTGGCTCAGCAAAACGCTCATTTTTTTTCTAGAAGTCGTACCTCTTGTTGTTTCTGAAACTTCGCGTTGTTCTTTCCCCAGTTTTTTTAAGCTATCTTCTAGGATTAGTGCCTATTCTTTAATTTGGTCTCCTTTGTAGAGACGAGAGGATTTTCTTTCAAGCATCCCTGGTAAAACCTGTTAGAATTATAACTGTATATCAAATTCGTGTAAATATAGCCATCGTTTTAAATAATATATATGTGGCATTGCTTATATTGCAAATAACATCGCATGGCGTTCTTAAAGTTGCAGTGTGATACATTAACTTGGTTTCAAAACAGTATCATCAATTTGTCCATTTGATTATGCAAAACTCTCTATGAATTTAAAATGTTTATTTGCAGAACATATCAATGACTTTTTCTATAATACAAGTGGTGTCCCAACATTTAGGTACGTATGTTGCATTTACTAGATTTTGTATAAAAAAAACAACAGTTTAAGACACGAATATGTAAGAGAACTACAGATAGTTTTCATTCTTTCGAGAGAGGACATATATTAACCTTTCAATTTAATAATACCCGATGTGTTTCACCGTTTATTTGATAATAATATTTGCTTATATTGATATGTTTTTCTTTCTGCTTTGATTTATAATTGAATAGATATTATGCAAGCCAGAAGACCTGACTGATTAGAACTATCCCTGTTTACAGACTGGTCGATGGGACTATTATATCTTAGACACAGATGCTACATAAATGCCTCGTCTGACCCTTTAAATAATTAATTGGTTTATGACAAAAATCTGTTTTAGCTCTACTGCCCAAGGGCAAACATGATTATCTGTGGTTCTTGGTCCGTTGTTCGTCGTTACGTCGCTACGAATGTCTGAATCGATTTTGACCAATTTGGTTGCATAATATAACTTAGCAGTGGGAATTAGGTTTGGGACAGAGATATTGAAAAAGGTAATGGACATTCTTTGAGTTAAGGGAATTATTGTTAAAACAGAGGGTGTGACCCCCACTTGGTATAGAGTTGTGGGACCCATCATATGGCCAGGAGAACTCATTAATGTATAAAGGAAATGTATGGTCTTCCTGGAAGTAGAGGAAAGGATCAAAATAGGTGAAATTAGAAAAAATAATAAAATACTTCTCTTCTGGTACAGATGAAGGGATTAAATTCTTATTTGGGTTGAGCATCCTTTGTCGTACGTGCGTAAAGTAACATGGTAATAAGTATATTTTAGGAAAGTACGTTAAGAAAATATTCCTTTGATAACAATACATTGTCTTTGTTGTTGTCTGTTATTTCACTATCAAGTTAAGTGATTCCCGGGTTGATAGTCAGAAGATATTTAGATTTAACGGCTGCTTAATCGCGACGAATAAAAACATTTCTTTGCAGAAAATGACCACCATGAAAAGGACGACGCGCCTCCTCTAATAGCAATATTAGGTTATTATTATATCAATACAATTACTTAGATAAAATTTACAATATAGGTATAAAAGGATATTTTACTTAATGATTCACAACCACAACCCAGAAAGAACTTGCTTTAAATGCGTGGTTGAATTAATTACAATTCCTAACAGCAATTTTGCACCTAATTTTTTTTATTGATTTTGAGTACGAACTACGGGTTTGTTGGTACAAGTTTTCATAAATGTTTTCAGCAAATCAGATGTGATTGCAAACATATTGAAACTGTAAAATCATTCGTTTGACACAAAATAAAACTCTTACATGTTCGTTTTTTAATTTAAATTTTCTTTCAAGCCTGTATTGTGATATTCGGTTGCTCTTCATATAAAGACAGGTATACCTTAGAGAGACTGCTTTTCAATTAAATTCAATTAGACCCTTTCCTGGTTTGAAGGTTTCATAACGGATGACTGTAAGGCTGCTATGGTAAATCAACTTCTGTCATAATCATAATTACAGCACCTTGCATGCACAGGAGATTACAAACTTGTGCGTTAGAGATCACATGCTTGTGCATTAGAGATCACATGCTTGTGCGTTAGAGATCGCATGCTTGTGCATTAGAGATCACATGCTTGTACATTAGAGATCACATGCTTGTGCACTGGGGTTGACTACAGTGCACACATCTCTTTATTATTATAATTGTCCTGTTTTATAAGTAAAATTATGGTATTATCTACCCTACTACTGATACTATTTTGATTAAATAAACCGAAAATGAAGGTTTCCTTGTTAAAACCAAATGGGATTAACAATGCATCAAGAAGGAATTCAAAATTTTGTAAAAAGTCTTGTACTTTCTCACATTCCCATAGTGTGTGAATTATTGTCTCTATTTCAGTCTATTAAGTATATTACTTATAAAACAATATATTTATAAATCAAGATGTTTACAAATGTCATTGTCAGTAGCTGCACTTAAGAACGTTATCAAGGACACATATTTTACTCAGAGATATATTGCTGTTAATAAAAGTGAATTATTTTTATTGAAATTCAATACTGAATGGAAAAAATGGGAAAGTCTAATTAATATTGCTTAAACCCTGTCTTTGCCAAAATATGAACATATAACTATCGAGTTTTCTTATATAAACATGTACTTCTAAATACTTATATGTAAAACTCCTTGAACCTTCCAACACATCTATATAGCTTCTTTATTTCTCAATATCCACCCTCCCTCGTTTTTTTTTCTTTTTTCTTTTCTTTCTTCTTTTTTTTTCTCTCTCTCTTAGTCTTACTTTCCCTTCTATACCTCTAGGACCTGCTCTAACCTCTTTTCTATCACTTCTAAACAATGCTTTTATATAACGGACACAATTTAGATGGAATTTAATTATACATAAACATAATTAATTATCAATTATACCTGGAAATATGCAGTTTTATTATAAATGAATATTTAATGAATGAATTGTAATGTGTGAGAGAAATAATGTTTATGTATGATATATTTGCATTGTTATAAATTTGGAAAAAAATACAAAAAAAATACAAAAAAAATACAAAAAAAATAATTGTCCTGTTTTCATCCGTTGGTAAATATTCTTACCTCTCCCTGTCCAAAAAGTGTAAAAATAATATTATCTGGTATAATAATATTCTGATTTTTAAATCTATCGACTCATATTATCAATTTGTAACAGTGAAATATTGTTTTTTTGTTTTTGTTTTTTTTATCTCAGTGATATTTTTCACTCAGTGGAAATTATTAAATGATATTGATATCATTTTTGATGAGTTAACCAATCAAAACACTGATTACAAACTACCATTTGCTTCAAGAAAATCCTTCTGATACATTAGCCCAGTCCACTGCCAAAAATAAATACATGAGACTATTCTCTGGGGTAAACACAACGTTAAATTCAGCAATACATTTTCATTTTTCATGGCAGCCAGCAGAATATGCAGACGAGCAATTCTAGGTATCGGGTGAAACTCAAACAAAATGAAACGCGGGTCAGCGTTTCTAAGTCCAATGTGAGGCCAAGCAATTTTCAGGAAGTATAAAAGAATCAGGGCCATCTGGGAAGTGGTTAAATATAACTTAAATATGTGGTGTTGATGTTTCATCACGAGGATAAGTGGTGACACAACAACGCTGCATTTTCTTCCACATCAACCATTCTTAATTCATTGTAAAAGATATGAACTAAAACACCTACTTTATTATAATAAATTATGAAATGAACTTTATAAGGAGTTTTGGTGTATTTTTAGATGTTTTGCACAAATGACTTCATTTTATCGCGTAGGATTTTCTTGAAATACTAACGGTAAAAGGATCCAGATCAAATATTGTCAGCTTGATGCTACGCTGCGCAATTCAGGGTACCTTTTTGCTGATAAAAAATGTGATAAACAGAATATCTAACACTGTCTGCAGTAATACCAAATCTATTTCACGAATGTGGGTAATATTTTGATACCTTACACTTTTACTGCACACTGCAATTCACCATACAATATGCTTCAGTATATTTAAATTAAGGTTGTTAACTTACTAGCACATACATGTATATATACATGTACATGCATTGGTGATCTTAACTATTTCTTATAGACATATTCATTAAAGTTTATGTATGGATTAACAGTGTTTTGTTATGCATGTTTTATATACAAATTATGGTAAAGTTATATTTAAAAGTATAATTTCATTTACAACTACATGATAGTGTACCAATACCAATTCTTTTTCAGTTTGAAAAAAATGGAATGCTCACCATATAGGTAACTAAATATATGTATCGTAAATAAGAAAAATTCTTTACACTAAATATATGTAATTTCTATTTCATGATAGGTACCCTTTTTTTTTTTAAAGAATATAGGTTTTCTTTATCGATCATAAATATGTAGGTATCCAAACTAATTTTTCTACGGGTAACTTTTACCTGTCTGTGGTCAGAGAACGATAGAAGCAACGTCTTAGAGAAGAATAGAGTAAGGTTAGGGGAGGGGAGAGAGAGAGAAGAGATCTAGAGGCAATGCACCATACCAATAATATATACTATTCACATGTTGATACACAAATTAGATTTTCCCTTAATTGTAATGCATAACTCCGAAACAGGATTACAATATTATATTTAAAGTCAATAAAATATCTTATTATGCTTTTTATGAATGAACGAGCAGGGGGTATATACCTATCACCCCGTCCGTCCGTTCATGAATGTTGTTAGTGAAACTCCACCTTAACAGTTCGTTGATTTCTTTTATATCCTTGCACAATGAATGTTTGAGTATGTGTTTACTATTGAAGTCGTAATGTTAAGGTTTATGTTCAAAAGTATCATCCGATCAGGTTAAAATACTGGTGTGAGACTTGGGGTTTTAAAATATCTAATACAAAAAACTTTTATAATTACATTGTATAGACGACGCTGCAATGAGAGTTGGTAGGAAAATACATGCAATTGTGTTAATTTGTGATTAACACATGTACCAAGTACTACAACATTTGATATTTTATCATTCATGTACGTTATTTCATCGCCAGGTAAATGTCAGTCCCTAATACTGTCCACTGTATTCGTGTAATTGGCATAAGTGATACTAATTGATCAGCAGAAAAAGTTCAATTATCATTTTCATTGAACAATACAAAGTCAGTGGTACCAAAGGCCAGAGATGCCTGACTGATTTTTTACACCTTTGTAATTGCCACACACAGAAAGGGCATATTTATGACAAAAAAACGCAGTCTATTTTCCTGACCAAGGGACAGCCACCGTATCTTACCTATATGCATGAACTGTGTACTGATTTACCTGTATACAGCTATACGTGGTTGACATACAGTGAGCTGGATTAGTTTAACTGAACTTTATCTGATTATTTACTGGTTTACAAGATGTCATAAAAAGTTAATCATTTAAATAATAATTATTATGTGTATACCATACAGTTGTAAATACTCAACCATGGAGTTTGTCATCATTTAACAAGGGACAGGTCATTACCACATGGCCAGTTGTTTCCTGTTGTTTGGATTACCCTTTTGCTGCTTATGTGGGGGAACACACAATTTACCCATGGAGGGGGGTATTTACAAAGCAAAATATTGAAAATCAAACTAACACTTGGGGTATTTTTTTATTTATTTTTTAAATTGAAAAACTCGCAAATAAGTTTAACAAAATAAATCTAAATATCTTCTGACTATCAACCCGGGAATCACTTAACATCTCTAGGTTTACTTTTATCTATATAGGTATATGCTATCATATGATATTCTGAAATGTTTCATTTTCTTGATTTGTATTTTTCAACATTTTGCCAAAAAGCACATATTTTAGTACCTATAATGGAAAACATGAATCTTAAGCATTGGCCGTTTTTAATATATAAAATGACAAGTGACTTATAAATTCCTCTTTGTTATGTTTTTCTTGTTTATTAACACTTTTCCTGTCTCGATTTTTCATCAAAAGTTAATGAAATATGTAAGATGTAGCCAGTTTTAAAACAACACTGATGTTCACATCCACATCTGTAGTAAAACAGATTTATCATTTTATCATAATAGCAAAATATAATGATGCAAATTTGAGTTTTATTTGATTTGCCATATTTGTCCGTGCTACAACATTGAAATGAAATGAATTGGGTCATATCTTTAAAATCACCAGAAATAGTGTGAAGTTTTTCTTGTTTACATATACCAGTTGAAATTTGTGAAAGAACCAATTCATTAGACAAATATATTTAAAATCTGTACTTCAGTCTTTTAAACAAGGGTAAACACTGTAATGCACTGTAGTAATCCCAAGTGTGCACTGCAGTGCAATAGAGTGCACTACAATGTTTTGTCTAGTGCACTACCTTGTTCATTACGTGTGCACTGCAAAGTGCACTTGATACCAAGTTAAATTTGTTCAACTATATAACTTGTTTTGTGTATCAGTTGATATTAAAAAATAGAAGTAGTTCTGAATGATGAACTGTCAACATCGCAACAAAGTATTATAGTAGGCTTTCTGATAATTTGATTAAATTCCTGGAAATATGTGATGCCTTTAACATTAACTTATATTAAGATGTTTTTTGTCTAAGACCCGACAACCTAAATTATATGATAAACCTCTGATCGCTTTCCAAGTGAAGGATTTGTTCCCTGTAAAATTTATCTTAATTCATGTATATAGTTTCCCGTAGGGAATGTGGTTAATATGATCTTGTCTGGGACATTAATGTATAACATATTTCTGGAGTATTTTTTATGTGCTTTTGCACGTTAGCAATAAGTCCTTTAAACATGAATCACAAAAATTGGGTTTGTTATAGATACAGTATAGCGGAATGCTCTGATGGTCGTAATCTTGGCGATTTGAAAATAAAACCTGAAAGTTAATATTTGTTGATTGAGAATTTGGCAGGTTTTCATAAGGCCAATCTGTCTAATTTGGTACCTTGCCATAATCCTTGCCATTTTATACTTTTGATATTTATCCCATATCAGTGAGAATCATTTAAGTTTTTGGCGATCTATATGTGGACTGCCAAATCATCAGTTGTAATTCAATTTATCCGTTAAAAGGTATATACGAACATGTATATAGCTCCAAAATACTGTTACTAAAAATACTGAAAATATAGATACATGTACTCATAAAAATACAGGTCACAGTGACCTAGTTACTTTTACTGCTACATCCATTCAAAGTTGTATAAATGATTAAAAAAGTACATGATCTATCTCAAGATACAATAAATATTTTGGTGCCAAAGTAATGTGGCAGAAAAACAAAGTCACTGGTTCAAGTCCAATCCTATTAATAATATTCCTATCCCTAGTACACTTAGATACTAAAACAATGAAAAAATGCAGGACGTAAAACACAAATGCATAAAAGGATTTTGTAACTTCAATGGAAAAAAATCTCGGATAAGAGCAACGCTACTTAGATTTACACATGTATGCCTTGCTATCCTATTTTGATTTTGATTATTTTGATTGTGATGAGACCAAAACCAATCAGCCACATGATATTGAAACCAGGGGCATAACAGTGGATGTTTTGTCGAAGCTTAGTAAAACAACAACACTTGTTCGAAGACACATTTGTTCCAAATAGCTGAATAGCCAAATTTTTATCATCAGCACAATGATTTTATGTATATGACTTCAAACGTTATCTCATTCGGAATATTTTCCTTGATTTAAGGAAATGTCAATGAATACAGTGACATTACATACCTGTTTTCTACACCTATTGACTTACGTAACTGATACATTGTGGATTTACTGTCATTTTAGTATCAATTAAGGGTACAGTCACATCATTTTCGTTTGGTCAATTGTTTCGGTTTTCAGAAACCAAATCAAAATTAACCTGGGTAAAGTGTAAACAATGAGTTGTAGAAAAGCCAAACACTTTCGATTGTAGTTTGCTTTTCTGAATGATTATAACACTTTCCCAATAAAATTATCCACTTTAGGATGCCACAGAGATGAAATAAATTCAAAATAGATGAACGAAAACATGTGAGAGAAAGTAACCTTTAGCTTATTGATTTTACACCACGTCCTCAAAAATCACAAGACAGAGTCATGATATGATTTATCTTGACAAAGCTTACAGGGGTCTAATATGCTTAAAACTTCTAAAGATTTATACACAACCATTATATTTAGTCATGCAGCATGGTGGATGACTAGACCGAGGGACAGATTATGCTTATGCCATGTCGCAGAGTCCATCGTCCATCAACTTTTCCCTCTAAATTGCTATAGTCCTTTACGGTTCAGAGGATTTTGACCAAGTTTTGTCTGAAGCATTCTTTGCCAAAGGATTTTCATTTTGCGGAAAAGGTGCGGTGCCTTATAAGGAAAATAATGGTGAATCTTCAAAAACCTTTTCCTTCTTTAGAGGGATTTTAACTAAATTTGTTCTCGAGCATCTTCGATGCTAGGAGGACTCACTTTTATATTGGCAAAGGGTGTGCCCCTTTGGGACAGAGGGCGAGGGCCCAATTAGGGAAATAGAAAAAAAACTTTTCCTTCCTTTCAAATGGGAGGGGTTTAAACTAAATATGTTCTACAACGTCTTCGGGCTAAGAAGACCCAGTTTAACCCTGGAGGATTACGTCTGGTATTCGCAGATTTCAGAAATACTGTTTTTCCGTTAGCATGTGATAATAGTTATAATATTCTCATATACATTTGTATTAAGACGCCTCCATCGATTACAATGATTATAAGATATTTTGTTGTCTGAACAAAATGATATGCAATTGAAATAACTATCATGGACAAATGGCATTTATAACCGATCTTCGAACTAACACAGGTAGTAGGGTTATCGGCTCATTTCTTATTGTCCTCAATGTTGAAAGACAAAAATGTTGTACATAATTATTTGTCTTCGGCCATCCTGCTTAGATTTGCGGAGAATTATATTAAGTATATGTAGGTCATGCCAAGAATCACACTGTCAGACGTGTCCAACAAAACACAAAGAAGGTGTAGCTCTTGAACCCTAGCTACTGTTATATAAACCAGAGACCAAAATCCGCCACTGTGACGTCACAAATTCCATGTGACAGGTTAGCTCATTATAATTATCACAAGTAAGGGGCGGTCATATATCTAGGAAACGGGATACTTCTGAACGCTCGTTAAATGAGGATTCGGTATTAATTTAAGTGTATTTCAGATTTCGCTTAATTTTACAAAAAATAAAATATCTTGACCAAAATCCTATGTTTTAGCGCCTGAATATATACATGAACACTTATGAGCTATTGCAATTTACGGCAATTGACTGAAAATACATAAGTATAATTGTTCAAAAATCTGACTTCATGTTAGGAGGAAGATGTCCTCGCTCGGCTCCGTACTGGGCACACATATCCTACTCATTCGTACCTTTTAAAACAAGAAGATCCACCTTCATGCCACGCATGTGACACTCCATTTACAGTCGAACATTATTTAATAGAATGTTCCGATTTTAAACACATTCGTGACAACTACTTTCGAGTCCCGAATATGAAAACTCTTTTCAGTACCGTGGAAACGAAGGCATCATTTACCTATTTGAAAGGCTATTTTATAGACTCTGATGTCTTTAAACCCATCTTACCCTTTTTGACGTTACATATATCACATAGTCCATATCATCTATTCGTTATCTCTTTTATTATTTTAACCCCCTTTTTATTTTAATTATCTACATATACAATGCGAATGCTTTGAAAATGATTTTTTTTATCTGATTTTATCCTCGGTACTCACATGTTTGTTTAAAAAATGTAATAAAAAAATAGATCACCATGGCCCTAAATGACCACAGCCGTCGATGGGCCGTTAAACACAAACAAACAAACAAACAAACTCCATGTAATGTATATGCGTCTATGTTTATGTAAGCGGTTATTTATTTTAGGGGCAGATTTATATTGTCTTATAATTGTCAATTTATAGCAGATCAATACATTTTCTGTATGGATGCATTCATTTTAGCTAACATTTATTATTTTCTTTTCAATATTCAGGAATGGTTTCAAAAGAAAATGAAAAGCGATGTCATCCCACAGGGTAAGCAAAAATCATTCATTAACTATTGGTGGACTTAATTTGTTTGTTATAAATATAACGTTTTAGTTTGATAATGGAAATATGGAGAGTATGTAAGTACTAATCTGCAAATATGTTTGTCAGCATGTATACAGATAATTTTATGTAAGAAGAAAACATCAGAATAGCGAAATATAAGCATTGGGTTATTTCCGTGGAATCTTTCTTATAGACAATATTATTTTCACTTTTTGTAAGCTCTTTTGACAACTTATGTAACATTCTGTGTATTAGTTCTTTTATATTCCTAAATTTATCTATTATCATGACTAGTAAACCGAACGTTTCAATGTATTGTGACGTTTCTCCTATGGTCCGTACCAGTCTACCAGTCATACCGGAGATTTCCCTGGAGATTCCGGGGAGTATACCTACCCAAACTAGGGTGTATCAATATCCTAGGAAAGATGCTAATATAAACAGATAAGTTAATCTAGCTCTGAAACATTGCCTTTGTCTGAGAAATCACTGCTTGTAATCATGTACTTCTTGTACCTGTAAATATAAACAGGGGATATATACAAAGCAGTATCAATGTAACAGTACACTCGAAATAGCTACGTATGAAACAATAAAACACCTAATGCTAATCTAACTGAGCTCTCCTACTACTGATCGCCCAGCATGTGCATATATACACACACCCAGCAGTCGATTACTCGCTGACCTCTCGCTGCCCGACACAGCAATACACACACAATAGGAGAAATAAGACAACACGATAAAAGGCTAATCTTCCAGTACAGGTAAAGGGATTATCATCTTATTGGTTTGAAGCATCCATTGTCAAAGGTACGAACGAGAGCAAACTACCGTGGTAAATAGTATATTTGTAAGGCAGATACGTTAAGAAAACATTACTTTGATAAAAATACATTGTCTTTGTTGTTGCCTGTTATTTGACTATCAAGTTGATTAATTCCAGGATTAATCAGTCAGAGGATTTTAAGATTGAACGGCTACTAAAATGCGACGAATAACAAAGTTTATTTGCAGAAAATGACCACCATGAAAAGGACGACGCGCCTCCTCTAATAGCAATATTAGGTTATTATTATATAAATACGATAACTTGTAAACATTCAATATTGGTATAAAGATATATTTTACTTATTGATTCATAACCACAGTCCAAAAAGAACTTGCTTTAAAAGCGTGGTTGCATTATTGCATTACAATTCATGACAGCAATTTTACACCTGAATGTAATAAATGTTCACTGTGTAAGAGACTCATCAAGTCCATACAAATGTCATTGCTTAGCTTTCCGTGGCTCATATTCTGCCATCGTTTTATTGATTTTGAGTACGAACTACGGTTTCGTTGGTACAATTTTTGATAAATATTTTCAGCAAATCGGAGGCAATCGCAATCATCTTGAAACTGTTAAATCAGTCGGTAGTCGTTTGGCACATAATATGAAAAGGCAAAGCCTGAAAAGAGCGTAGCTTTCAGAATTAGATATACTGCTTTCAGAATGAGATAAGTCGGCTAATCGAGGAATAACAATAAAACATGAGCTCTAATGAGACTTAAGACCAACATTACAATTATGGGAATTTCGTTTACAGAAAAATTCGCATAACCGGAAGCGAGATCATGATTTTCTTTCTATACCCCCTCAAAAGTTATTTTCTCCTGCTTAGTAATTCAGTACATAAGAGTTTGACTCGCCATTTTTTTCGTGTGAAAGCCCAGTCAACTAAACTACTAAGAGCCGCAAAGTTGTAAATATAAGTTTAAAAACAAAAATATCAGGGATGGCCGAACTTGCCCCAGTCTCCCGTATAGAGACTTTTAACGTATATGATGGGTCGGGTGGCGCAGTGGATAGCGCGTTCGTCTTCACCAAGATGACCGGATTCAATCCCGGTCGACTGCCCAACCACGCGGGTTTTCTCCGGATACTCTGACTTTCTCATTCATTAAGAATTAAATCCTCTGCATGTTTCCGTCAGGGCACAATTAGAATTATCTAGATAAGTAGGGAAAAATGTTTGGCAGTTGCTTTAAAAAACAAGTGCATATTTTTTTTTTTTTTACGATAAGCCTAAGTAAATGTATTGAGGTGAAAGTTAAAAAATAAAAGAAAAAAGAAAACATTGTCATATTTTGATGTAATGTTGAGATTGTCGTTATATCGGTTAGCAGTCTCAATTCCTGTTCGATCCTGAAACACCGGATTGAATTTCACATTTTGTTACTGTCATCGAGGTTTGACAGGTAAGGATATGCCAAATAAAATTAAACAGTTTCTGTCTGTAACTAGTAATAAATCGGCGTGTGTTGTGAAAAAGTAATATGTTGCTAAAAAGGGGGCTCTGAATTCGGGGTGGTTGTTTTGAAAATTATTGTTGATTTCGACATAAATGCATTATCCATTGTTTCTTTAATGAGTGGTAGTGATGCATACATAAATTATGTAAAGACCATAACCAGACTTTCAAAAAATGTTAATTAATTTGTTGATATTCTCAACAAATGGAAATCAAAAGCTGATGGAATTTTAGACGATGAAAAAATAAATGTACACGTTGACCTATTGGTTTAATGTCGGCTCTTTTTGAAGATATCTCCCAGTAGAAAAATTAACAGAGCCTGGTTGCTGACAATCCAATCCAAATGAAACTGATGGTGAATGCATGTATGTCAAATTGTGCATAGAACTTGAAAGTTGTATTATGGCATTCTCTAAACACAATAACATCAACTCTGCAACAGTGATATACCATCAATTAAGATGCATCTCCATCAACGTTTGATGTAACAATCCAAATCTATAATGAGTAAACATACATTGCACATATTACACATGTGTATTATACTGTCAGTCATGTATTATATATGCGTATACTATTACAGGCAGGTATTACACTTGTATTTACTAGTACACACACATATATATATATACTATCACATACAGGTATTATTCACATATATAATATCACACACATGTATTATACATGTACCACTATATACCATCACACAGTTATTACATAAACTATCACCGCTGATACAATTAGTATACGCATACATACTTTCATACACAGTTATTATAAAGGTACATACTATCACACACATACATACTATCACAAAGTTAGTATACACATACATATATACGATCACAGTTATTTTACAGACACATGCTATCACACACAGGTATTACACACATACCTACTATCACAGTTATTGTACAGATACATACTATTGCACAGTTATTATACACATACATATACACTATCACAGTTATTAAACACATACTATTACACACATTTATTATTATACACATACATACTATTACACACATTTATTATACACATACATACTATAACACACTGTTATTATACACATACATTCTATCACAGTTATTATACACATACATACTATCACAGACGAGTATTACACATGTATATACAATCGCGGACATGTTAACACAAGTACAGTGCATACTAAGTACACTTTTGTACATGTTCTCTTATCCCTTTTTTTACCTTTAGTTATATTTGACAGGGTCACAGGGGTCAAATATTTCAAACAACTTCTTTTAGGGAACCACTACACTTCCTATCAAGAGTATGGTATTTCACAGGTTTTAAATTGAAATAAAAAAAATCAAATTAACTATTTATTATAAGTCCTCTTGTAAAAAGTTGATAAAGAGCATCGGGTCAGATAGCCAAAGGTCGTGGGTTCGAGCCCCAGCGACAGCAATAACTTTATCACTATTCCTCGTCCTACTACATATATATCTACTTAAGGGTCTGTGGTTTATTTTTCAATAAACTTAACAGTTTGCATACATGTATGAGTAAGACAGAAAATTTGTGCAGATGCATACCTTCTTATAGCTTTCAGATTCTTTTTTATTCCTCAAAAGTTCTTCAAAAGCATTTTATAACTCATTATGTCTTAAGACCCATTGATTTATATCTCATATATACCTCGCCAGCGACCAATGTACAGGACTTTATCCTAAAAAAGATACAAATAGTATACAGAATATAACCAGACAGTAATGTAAAACAAGTAGTTTACAGTGTATAAACCATTCGTTCTTGTAACTGCTATTAGTATGTTTTATCGCTAGGTGTATTTTAGTACAGCGAAGTAAACTTGCCTACTGTAGATTTGTGTTAAAGTACAATATACTCGCATGTGTAACCTGTCTGTAATAGTAAATACAAGTGTAATACCTGTCTGATAGTAAATTCAGATGTGATACCTGTCTGTGATAATAATACAAGTGTAATATCTGTCTGTGATACTAAATACAAGTGTAATACTTGTCTGTGATAGTAAATACATGTGTTATACCTGTCTGTGATAGTAAATACAAGTAAAGTATCTGTCTGTGATACTAAATGTAAGTGTATTACAGCACATGAGCCTGAAATTCTGTCAATAATGAATAATCATAGGTATTTTTTTGTATTACTGTTATTGTTCATTATTGACAGAACTTCAGGCTCCTGTGATTACAGATGAAATACAAGTAAAGTGTTCTACTTTCGTTTTCAAATAAATGCAACAAAATAAGACAATATTCTCAATAACCAAATGCTTTCACTTCATTATACATAATCATAAAGACTTTTACCTGTTTGACTCCGCATTTTCTTCATTTAAAGCGTAATAGATGAACTGTAGTAGATAGCCGAAGCAAGTAACCACCCTTCAAGGCTTCGTGTCAAGTACCATAACGCATTCGGAAACTCTTGTTTTTTTTCTTTCCATTCGGTTCGCAAAATACGAAACTAAAAAAGCTGAATTAAAATTACAGAGGTGCAATGTGCCACATTCCAAAGTGTAGAAAGGGGAAGCAACTCTGTTTACGTACGCATGTGTTACCATAAAAGAGCTTCGCTCGGGCGCCTTCGGCGCCCAAGAGTTACGCTCTTATTATACACTTTGTATAAGTCCTTCATGTACGTTTTCTTCTGTAATTAAAATTTTCTTGCAAGCTTGTGTTGTGATTCGGTTGCTCTGCATATAAAGACATGCGTGCCTTAGAGAGACTGTTTTTCTTTATCTTTCAATTCCATTTAACCTAAAATGTTTGTTTTACATTTTTTTCAGATAACAGTTCCTTGCTCGAAGAAAAAATACCTACAGAATTTTGCATTGCATACTTGGGTTTACGACCAGGCACAATTCTCTTTTTAATCATAATTATCTGGTTTTCAATCGTAAGTAAATATTCTGATTTCTCCCTGCCCCATCCGCTTTAAAAGAAGTGTTAAAAATATTACCTGGTATAATTATAGTCTTATACTTTAATATCGAAGCAGTATCCTTCAAACATTGACTTATATTATACTAATTTATTTTTACCGGTGAATTATTGAAAATCATTCATTTTATAGAAGAGATGTTTTTCAATCAGGGAATTATATAAAAAATGTATTGATATTACTTTTGCTAATAAACTAATCAAAACACTGATAACCAATTACCATTTGCCTAGTCTACTGCCGATATTAATTATCTGTTTCCATTCATGGGGAGACTATTCTTTGGGGTAAATACAACGTTAAATTTTACATTTAACTTTCATTTTCATGTCACATTTTGTCGGGAAGGATTTTCTAGACATGCTAGCGGTAAAAGGATCTAGACCAAATATTGTCAGCTTGATCTGTCTCGTCGCGTTCCGGGGAGGCTTTTTGCTGATAAAAAATGAAATAAACAGAAAATCTAACAGTGTATTCAGTAATACCAAATCTATTTCACGAAAGTGGCGAATAGTGTGATACCTTTCACATGTACTGCGCACTGCAATGCACCATACTATACCATGCTTCAATATATTTAAATAAGGAGCGTTAATTTACTAACACATACATGTACATGCATTGGTGGTCTTAAAAAATACTCTCTTAAAAACGTATTCATTCATAAAAACTAAGTTCTCGATAAACAGTGTGATGTTAAACATATTTTATGTATACAAATTATGGTAGAGTTAATATTCAAAGTATTATGTCAACAATTAGTACATGATAGTGTACCAATACCAACTCTTTTTCGGTAGCTGCTGGTGTGAGGGACCACACAGTATGTCCATGGATAGGGTTGTTTATAAAGCAAAGAATCATATATCAAACTTACACTAAGGATACGTTTTCTTTCTAAAAGTTACAATCTCGCATATCAATCAATTACATCTCTAGTATTACCTTATCTATACATGTATATGCTATCACATGATATTTATTATCGGAATTTTTCATTTTCTTGATTTGTTTATACCCACATTTTGACTAATTAAAGCATATATTTTAGTACATGTGATGTAAGATATGAATCATAAACATTGACCGTTTTTAATATATAAAATGACGACTGAATTATAAATTCCTCTTGGTTATTATAATTTTTTGGTTAATTAACATTTTTCTTGTCTCGATTTTTCATCAAAAGTCAATGAAATATGATTCATGCAGCCAGTTTTAAAGCAACATCGTTGTTAAAATTCACATTATTAGTAAAACAGAATTATTTTATTATCATAATAGCAAAATATAATGCTACAAATTAGAGAATTATTTAATTTGCTATAAAAGTCCGTAGTGCAACATTGAAATGAAAGTTGATATGAATTTAGATATTTCAAAACTGTGCTTTGATACTTTTGGCTTTTAAATCAGACAGGCGACTACAAAGTGCACTTGATACCAAGTTAAGTTTGTTCTCAAAGGTATCGATTGTTTTGTCGATATAAAAAATAAAAATAGTCTTGGATGATGAACAATCAACATCTCAACAAGCTTTCTGATAATTTGATGAGATGCCTGGAAATATGTTATGCCTTTAACCTTAACTTATACAAAGATTTTCTTTGTCTAAACGCGAAATCATAAATTGTTCCATAACTCTCTGATCGCTTTCAAATAAAGGATTTCTCCCTCTTAAATCAATCTTAATACATGTATATGGTTTCATGTAGGGAAGGTGGTTTCTATGATCTTGTCGAAGACTGAAATTAATAAACATGTATGGAGTATTTCTTTTGTACTGCTGCAAGTTAGCCCCTAGTCCTTCAAACGGTATCACAGTAATTTGGGTTTGTTATATATAGAGTATAGCGGAATGCTCTGACGGTCGAACCTTGGCGATTTGAAAAAAAACCTGAAAGTTAATATTTGGTGATTGGGAGTTTGGCAGGCTTTCATCAGCCCAAGCTGTCTTTTGATACTGTTTGCATTTGTCTAAATTTTGATTTGGATTATTTTGATAGTGACGAAACCAACACCATCAGCCACATGGTAATGAAACCAGAGATATTAAAGTGGATGTTTTGCTGGCGTAAAGCAAATACGCCTCACCGAGGATTTTAATCCAAATTTTATCACCAGAACAATGATTTCATATATATAACGTCAAACGGTATCTCTTGGAATATTTGCATTGAATTTAGGAAATGTCAATGAAAAAAATGACACATATGGATATTAAATACCTGTTTACTATTGGCTTACGTAACTGATGTATTGGGGATCTCCTGCCATTTTGATATCAATTAAGGATACAGTCACATTATCGTTTAGTCATTTTTTTTCGGTTTTTGGAAAACAAATTAAAATTAACCTAGACAAATTGTAAACAATGAGTTGTAGAAGAACCATACAATTTCGATCGTAGTTTGCTGTTATGAATGATTATAACACAATAAATATTTTCACGTTCAATATCACAAAGATCAAATAAGTTCAAAATAGATGAACATGTAAGAGAAAATAACCTTGAGCCTATTGATTCATACCACGTCCTCAAAAATAATTTGGCAGAGTCATGATACGAGTTATCTTGACAAAAGCTAACGGGGTCTAATATGCTTAAAACTTATAAATATTCGTACACAACTATTAGATTCAGTCATGCAGCATTGTGGATGACTAGAGCGAGCGACCAAGTGAGCTTATGCCGTTGCGCAGCGTCTGTTGTCCGTCAACGTTCCCCTTTAAAGCACTACTAGTCCTTAAGTGCTCTGTTAACTTTGAACAAATTTGGTCTAGAGCATACTTGGCCAAAGGGTTTTCAATTTTGTATAAAGGACGATGTGCCGGTGGCCCCCTGTGGCCCCCTTGAGGCAGAGGGTTAGGGCCTAATACGGAAAATAGAGGTAAATCTTCAGAATCCTTTTTATCCCTTACCAGTGGAGGGATTTTTACCATTTATTTCAGGCGTATCTTCGGAGCAAAGGCTCTCAATTTTGTATAAGCGAATAGTGTGCTTCCTTGGGGGCAGTGGGATGGGCCAAAAAAGGGAAATAGAAGTAGATCTTCAAAAATCTTTTCCCTTCCTTACCAGTGGAGGGATTTTATCTAAATTGGGTCTAGCGCGAATTCGGGCTAATTTGAGTCAGTTTAGCTCTAAAGACATGGGGGCGAGGCCAAAGGGAGAAAATGGAGTGTGTGGCCTCCCTTGGAGTAGAGGGACAGGACCCAATAGGGGAAATAGAAGTAAATATTTTGAAAGCTTTCTCCTGTATGAATATAGGGATTACGACCAAATTAGTTCTAGAGCATAATTTGGCAAGTTGGCCTCAACTTATATAAATAAAGTGCGTCACCCCCGGGGGGCAGAGGGTTGGGGATCAATAGGGGGAAAAGATAGATAAATAAAATCGTTCCCTCCGTATGTATTTACGGGTTTTATCCTCATCCTTTTACCAAATATGCAATTGCTAGGTTTGATGAGAAGAATACATCCATACTACCACGATTTGTTCGGATATCAAGACCCACGCCTGGGTCATAACAGTGAAAACAGTTGAGATCCTGAGACCATAGCCATATACAAAAGTAGTTGACATAAAGAGCACATTCATGTTCTTGATGTCTAACCGGCGGATTAAAAGGTTCTTATTACAGCTTGTATTTCTTTTTTGATGACCTGGTATATAAACAAAATAGCAGGTGAGCTATTAAGGCCCCTGGACTTCTTGTTGAAGTATAATTACGTATTACTTTAAATACAATTCACATAAAGTTCTCATTAATGCTAGAAAAAATATAACAGTATTATATCAATGTTTTCTTATGCGGTTGGGAAACAAAATCTGTTTGGCACAGTGGCCATTTTCAAGCTCAAATATATCAGCTATGTTTAAAATGCTTTTACGGTCGTTCTACATTATAATTGGCATGTAGTATGTTGGGGTGAATATTTTTTTGTGCAGGTGAATTACTTTACAATGCCAAATGTGTTAAAATTCGTGCAAAGATATATGGTGAATTATGACCTGTTATATCACGTCTGGTATTCGCAGATTTCAGAAATACTGTTTTTCAGTTAGCATGTGATAATAGTTATTATATTGGCATATACATTTGTATTAAGATGCCTCCATTGATAACAGTGATTATAAGATATTTTGTTGTCTGAACAAAATGATATGCAATTGAAATAACTATCATGGACAAAGGGCATTTATAACCGATTTTCCAACTAACACAGGTAGTAGGGTTACCGGCGCGTTTCTTTTTATCCTCAATGTTTAAAGACAAACATGTTGTTGAAAGAACTAAAGTCAATTTCAACAGAATTATAATGTATTTAAATGCGTTTTTACCTAAGGCAGAAACATGTTTCACAATTTCACAGTAGCTCCTGAACCCTAGCTACTGTTATATAAACCAGAGACCAAAATCCGCCACTGTGACGTCACAAATTCCATGTGACAGGTTGGCTCATTAAAATTATCACAAGTAAGGAGCGGTTACCTTTGGTTGCATATATCTAGGTAACGGGACACTTCTGAACGCTCGTTAAAGGATGAGTCTGTATTAATTTAGGTGTATTACAGATTTCGCTTAATTTTACAAAAAATAAAATATCTTGACCAAAATCCTATGTTTTAGCGCCTGAATATATACATGAACACTGATGAGCTATTGCAGTTTACGGCAATTGACTGAAAATATATAAGTATGATTGTTAAAAAACCTGTAATGAGGAAGATGTCCTCGCTCGGTTCCGTACTGGGCACACATATCCTACTCATTCGTACCTTTTAAAACAAGAAGATCCACCTTCATGCCACGCATGTGACACTCCATTTACAGTCGAATATTATTTAATAGAATGTTCCGATTTTAAACACATTCGTGATAACTACTTTCGAGTCCCTGAAATGAAAACTCTTTTCAGTTCCGTGGAGTCGAAGGCATCATTTACCTATTTGAAAGGCTATTTTATAGACTCTGATGTCTTTAAACCCATCTTACCCTTTTTGACGTTACATATATCACATAGTCCATATCATCTATTCGTTATCTCTTTTATTATTTTAACCCCCTTTTTATTTTAATTATCTACACATACAATGCGAATGCTTTTAAAATGGTTTTTTTTATCTGATTTTATCTTCGCTACTCACATGTTTGTTTAAAAAAATTAAATAAAAATTAAATCACCATGACCCTAAATGACCACAGCCGTTGATGGGCCGTTAAACCCAAACAAACAAACAAACAAACAAACAAACTCCATGTAATGTATATGCATCTATGTTTATGTAAGCTGTTATTTACTTTTACGACAGATTTATCTTGTCATATAATTGTCAATTTAAGGCAGATTAATACATTTTCTGTATGGATGCATTCATTTTAGCTAACATTTATTATTTTCTTTTCAATATTCAGAAATGGTGTCAAAAGAAAAAGAAAAGCGATACCATCCCACAGGGTAAGCAAAAATCATTTATTAACTATTCGTGGAATTAATTTGTTTGTTAAAATTATAACGTTTAAGTTTGAAACGGAAATATGGAGAGTATGTAAGTACTATTCTGCAAATATGTTTGTCAGCATGTATACAGATAATTTTATGTAAGAAGAAAACATCAGAATAGCGAAATGTAAGCATTGGGTTATTTCTGTAGAATCATTCTGATAGACAATATTATTTTCACTTTTTGAAAGCTTCTTTGACAACTAAAGAAAACCAATGTAACATTCTGTGTATTAGTTCTTTTATATCCCTTTATTTATCTATTAGCATGACTAGTAAACCGAACGTTCAATATATTTATTTATTACCCAAAATAAATTTTTGAATAACCAGGAATTATATTACTGATCGATTTCGAGAAGGCATTCGATTCGGTGTCCTGGCAATTAATATATAATGTTCTAGAGTTTTTAAGTTTGGTCCTGAATTTATTAAATGGATAAGCGTTTTGTTTAATGACGCTAAATTATGTGTACTCCAAAATGTTTGTTTTTTCATATTTTTCTTTTAATATAGGACGGGGCTGCCGTCAAGGCGATCCCATCTCGCCGTATTTTTCTCACGTGTGTAGAAATTATGGGTATCCTTATAAAGTCTAATCAAGAAATTAAAGGTATTGTTAATAAAGAGTATTAACTCTTTCAATATGCTGATGATAATGGTATATTTTTTAATAGTACGGAAAAAATCACTCAAGAAAACTCTTGATCTCCTGGACCAGTTTTCGAAGTTTTCGGCTTGACACCTAATTTTGATAAAACTAAGGCAGTCTAAATAGGTTCAAGGAAAAATGCCACAAATAGATTATGGAATGAGTGGAACCTTGAGTGGACCAATGAACCGTTCACGGTACTGGGCATCCAATGGAGCTTAAAACTTTTTAAATTTTAAAGCCAAACTTAGTGATATCAATAATACACAAAAACATTGGTATAAAAGAAGACTGACTGTCCGCGGTAAGATAACGGTAGTCAAATCTCTATTAATTCTGAAATTGACTCATTTATTTACGAGCTTACCTAAACCAGAAGACAAACTTACTTAAGAATTAGAAAATGTCATTTTCAATTTTATCTGGAATACAAGAGATAGAATAGCTAGAAATCAGATAATACAAGATTATAAGGATGGTGGCTGTAGGATGACGCACATTGTATCCTTAAATAAAGCATTAAAATTAACCTGGATACGGAGAATTTTCAATTCTGACACTACCTGGAAAACTTTCTTGTATATAACACAAATGTCAACAAGTTCACAACTTTCGGTGACAAATACCTCATTAAACTATCACAAAGATATAAAAACCCATTTCGGATGGAAGTGTTTAGTACATTTGCTGAATATATCAAAAAACTAGATATTAAACCCCTGACCTGCTAAAACTAACATTATGGTTCAATGCTCAGATAAAGGTAGAAAACTTCACAGATGGTTTGCTAGGAGTTGACGGCAATACTGATTTAATAAAATTACAAACTATCGTTTTCAATATACAGTTGTGGGATCGCACAACGGTACACGATGTGCGATGTGCGCACGATGTGTGCACGGTGTGTGAACGATGTGTACACGAAGTGCGAACGATAAAAAAACTGGACGATCACTGCTTGCGCGCATTTGTGCGGACGATCGACGAACGTTGTGCGATAACAATCGTGGTTGGTGTAAATTGAGGAATGCCTTAAAATATATACGGTGTCGTGTTTAAACATATAAACTTGATTTTTTAGAATGTTTCTATATTCAAGCTACATCTATAAGCTAATATTTCTGTCCATACTTTCTTAAATTAAGAAATGGATTTTTCTGTGTTTTTTAAACGACCTTAATCGACACATGTACAATTATAACACAGTCTCGGCAACACAGGTGAACATAGCCACTTTGTACCTGGACTGTATTTTTCCCCCGCCCGGAGCACTTACGTAACTCGTCAAGTTGTGAAAACCAGGTGAAAGGGAGCTAAAGACCAAACGAATGCCAATAACAAATACTTAACGTCCAGTGGTATTTTCATAACGGTCATACGGTATCACATATCTGCTCTATGTGTCAAGCAAATGCCAGGTAAAAATCCGGTCACTAATCAAATTGTTATTTACCTGTTTTATTACCGAGGAGCCAAACCCATTCTTGACAGTCTAATGATCATTGTATACTGTGTTACACGCATTGATAAATTGTACATAATTTTAAGTATACATAGTGATGAGAGAATTACATTAATGTGTACAGTGTACATTATTGAATACGAGCCTTCCGTATTTTTTTTCACTCCGTAATATTGATCAACAAATTGTACCTAATCGCACAGATGTGCGGAGATAAGCGCACAACGAGGCGAACGATTGTTAAATCGCATAGTTGTGCGCACCATGTGTGTACGATGTGTGGACGGTGTGTGAACGGTGTATGCACGGTATTTTTGGTGCGTTTTGCGGTCACACAACTGTAATAACAGATGTGACTCTGCAGTGTTTTCAATATAGAATTATACATAGGATACTCGCAACTAACAGTTTTCTTACAAAAATGAAAATAAAAAATAACCCACTTTTCACATTCTGCAAACATTCTGAAAAAACTTTACTACACATATGTTTCGAATGTGAACATATCGCGAGGCTTTGGCTACTTCTTGAAAACTGGATATTCTCAAAAACCTCTGTTTACATTAACTTTGCAAAACAAGATATCTTTTTTGGGAAAATAAGTAAAACAAATTATGTGCAGAATCTTATTATGTTAATTGTTAAATATTACATTTACAAACAACGTATGAAAGGTGAAACACTTTTTATAAAAAAAGTGTAAAGATAGATGTAGTGTACAATTATAATGTGGAAAAATATACTGCAACATGTAAAGGGAAACAAAATACCTTCTTTAAGAATGGAGACTCTTTTCTAGCTCAATGATACCATAGATTATTTTCCATGTCTAGTGTATTTATCCATGTGTGCACCTATATCTTTTACCTAATTTGATTGCCGCCCTAGATGTGTATTAACCAATTTCGAATCATTCATTCTTACTCCAGACCGCAATGTTACGGTCACAAATATACAGGTACTACTTGCGTAATGCACATCTCGGATGGGAAGTCGAAAATTCTCCTTAAACATCCATAGTACGAGAGCAAGAGGGTATGCAAGTTGTGTTTTTTGCTGTCTTTTGTAAAAAAAAAAAAAAAATGGAAAAAAAAACACAAATAAAGAAGTTGGTAAAAAACAAACAAAAAACTAGTGCAATTTCTCCACCTCCTTCCAGCTGTTCTGTTGACAGCAGAGTGTACTGTTAATAATGTTAGGTAGAAAAGAAAAATCACAGCATGGATTCTTACTACATTCGGTTTTTTATCACTTTTTCCAGAGAAAGTATAGTATACTTATTGCTTTATTTCGTTTCTCATTAAGACAACTCTGCCGAATTAGAGATCATTCATTGTCACTGTTCATTTTTTGTTTGTTTCTTAAACATTTTTTTTCCTTTTCTCCTTATTATCTTTCCGCTCCCTCTTCCACCATCCGACGCTATGGCTTTTTTTGTCGGACCCCTTTCTTGGAAACTGTTGGTCAGATTTACGTTATACAAGTAATGATCTGATGTAGATGTGCACTCTTCTTAATGTGTTGCTGCGCACCAAAAATGACCGCCATTGTCTTTAATAAAAGTTTCAATCAAATCGCGAGACAGGATACTTACACTATGATGTTGTTCTATTTCATTTATATCCAATGTTCATTATGACACCACAGACATTTCCGCTACTTCCGTTTCTTGATTTAACATGATACTCTTCTAGGCCTCGATTCTGATTGGTCCATCTCATGATATTGTTTTGCTTGATTTGGTTTAAGTTTTTTAACGACTTATCAACAACTAAGGTCATTTAAAGGGGCTGGTCGGGGAAAAATGTAATATTTGCTAAAATGGCATACACATGTTTAAAATACCTTCTTATGAAATATACCGATTCAAATTTTGCTGCAATTTACTCCCTAAGAGTAAAAAATATAATTATATTAAAGAAATCCTAAATCGTCACCTGACAGTCTAAAACTCTCAATTGACCCAGACCAGTGATGTAATTTTACCGCACACGCGTCATCAACAAGGCCAAATGTAAACATCGCGGCGAAAGAAAGAGATGCATGCAAAAGTCATGACATGCACGAGGTATCAATACCACTATATATAACGACAACATATAGGTAGGAATACTACTCTTGCATCATATTGCTGTCTTGTCCGCTAGTTGAGTCCGACATGGCACATGACGGCGTGCTGTTGTTAGTATCTTCACTGCCTCACTTTCGAAAAAAACACGTGACGTATATAAATAGATATGCGCTAAATTTACGCGGGGCTCCCCCGAGATTTCAGTGGTCAAAACTGGACATTGCAAGCAGGAACTCGACCATCATATTGCCGTGGTATAACTTTTGGAAGTCCAGAGAACGCATTTAGACTAATTTAATTTGTATTTTTTCCCCCGACCAGCCCCTTTAAGAAGGTGCCTCCATGTGTGTTGTGTATGCGTGAATTTGTGTGTATGTGCCGGAGACTTTAAAGGGCTATCGCACTGAAATACCATGCCGAAGGCACCCAGCACAGCATTTCGCCCGGTCACATTATATTGACAACGGGTGAACCAGTTGTTGCACTTCCCTAAATGCTGAACGTTAAGCAGAGAATTGCAGCTACCATTTTTAAGGACTTTGGTATGGGGACAGAACCCATTGCCTTCTCCGCCTGCGCGAACGCTCACCACTAAAGCAAAAAGTGAGACACTGCCATTTAGTAGCGATCTCCGACCTGCAGGGTTGTTTGATTTTCAATGTCGATTAATGTTTGGTGTGCAGGTATGTTAAAACACTTCAAACTCTACTGTAACTGCTGTTTGCATCATATACGAATATTGGAGATATTTGGGGACTCTCTAAAGGCCAACAATACAAATAGTGCTTATATGATTTATCTTGTTTTAGGTACTCCGCAGCCAAGAGAGCAACTCGCATTTGAAAATGATAATGTAACATTTGACGTTACAAAATTAACACAAAACAAAGAGTATAAATGGACATACATGGATGGCGCTAACAACGATACAGGCAGCATATCAGACAAAAGATACGAAGTCGAAAACAATCAAGACACGTGTAAACTCACGATAAAAGGATATAGAAAAGAGGACAATGGCATATATATATGTAGGGATAAGGAGACGGACGAACATCTGACAGTGTATTGTCTGAATAAGTATTTTATTAATAAATAGGAAATGTATATTACCATTAACATATATCGGCTGTCTATAAATAGTTGCAAAATTAAATACATCACATATTTGAAAACCATTTAGATATGTATTGCTTCTATTCATCCCTTTTATTTATGATTAGGAAGGTCAACCTTGGTAAACAAATTGCATTTTCTGCGCATAATTTGTTTTCAGTAATAACTCCTTGAAAACAGTCAAGTTTCAATTGATAAAAATAAAAAGGTAACACAGAAGATATAATTACACCCATTATACAACATCTTTCTCAATAAAATATATTTCCGAACATTTTATCTTCAAACATGTAGATAGTTATACATTAGACAGATAGCCATAATCAAATGAACTTTAATTATAAAAATTCTACTTTTGTCTCAAAAGAATACAATTATGATTGCTAGATCAAATTGGAGGAGAATGCAAGACCCAAAATAGATTAACGTATTTCCTGTTAGTCAGTGAAGTGCTAGATTCTTTAAACACGATAAAACTGATATCTTTACATTCATAATAAGATCAAACAGTTCGGCGTGAGCAATACATGCTAAATTTGTTTGAAACAGACGTTTTCGAAAGCTGGCAAAATAGGTTTTCAACCGTTATTAGTGTTTGAACAAACTTAGCATTTATGATATCGTTACACTACGATAGGTATTTAAATAGATATTTCTCACAGCTTGAAAGAACATATGTTGTACATTTTGAGATAAAAGACAGCTTAATGTATGTTGTTTTTGGGGAATCAAATAAATTTTATCGGTTGAGAAAAAGATGTGTTCCTCTTCTTTTCTTGAAAAAATGTAATCACACTTTTATTTAACTCATTTTTTTCAAATTTTTATTTCAGAAACGAAGAACAAACTAAAAGGTAAGACTTCTTTTGCAACATTTTT